ATTGGTTATATTTATAGGTGTGAGGAGATTTTCTCGAAATTTTAGCTTGCACAACAATATAAACGATACACCAGTGTTTACATTGTTGATTCTTACACTCGAGAATATTCTATAATTTTAGTGAATAGGCGGGTATTTTGCAATACAGATTTAACAGTATTAGCTATGTACATTTCTAAATATAAATTTAACTTAAACAAACATGGTTATTAGAATAGATATAGGTTAATATATCCATCAAACTTCCCTCCTTAGATAATTATAAATGGATCAGCACAAATGTTATTTTTTGGGAAAATGTACAACATAATCACACGACTGAAGGGTTCTTCAAAAGCTAGTATAGGCTTCAAATGAGCAACAGGAATTTTTTGGTTAGGTTTATGACAAGTTTTACGAAACTGAGAAACATCTTGCCTAATATTTGGCCAAAAGAAATGTCTCAATTTTGTCATGTCTTGTTGATACCTAAATGACCTCCCATGGCGAGTTCATGAGTAACTTTCAATATTTCAGAATGATATGCTTTGGGAACAACGATTTGGTAAACTACAGCCCAGTCGTCTGAAGCTAGCACATCTGGTGTTCTCCATTTCCTCATAAGCACACCATTTTTGAAAAAATAACCATTTGAAACTTTCTCCAGTTCACCTTTTGGGAGTACATATTTGAATAGTGAAGATATATGCAGATCTTTTTCTTGCTCATTGGTCAGTTTACTTTTAGCAAACGGAACTTTACCAGTTGAACTAGATCTCTCATGTCCATCATTGTCACTCACCAATAGATATAGGATAATATATCCATCACAGAACTCATCTAAGTAAATCTTTGCACCAGCTCCTCCACCACTTCAACATGGGATTCCAGCTTAATTGTGTGAATAGGTGTGTATCATCTTGGAAGTTAACATTTTCCTTACCTTAAATTGTATTTTCAATAGATATTCACCTCTACACATACATTCCCACCCTTCCTACCCACTTCCGGTGTACCTTAAGATTCTTGTTTTGTCAGAGAATGAAGACTCAAGAGTACAAAAGCATAGAGGGAGATAGTGTACAAGGATAGGTGTGTCACCTTCTTATTGGTGAAGGGTTCTTGCTGCATAATAATGTCATTATGCAGTAGCTCAATTCACGAGAAATTTTCTTGAGATTAGCTGGGAGTTACCAAAAAGCTAGTGGGATGCAAATGTTTAACAAACATGGGGGAAGATAGCTTAATTGTGTGAAGAGGTATCTATCAGAAATACATCTTCAGGTAAGGAAAATGTTAACCTTTCATATTTTATTATGCCAATTGCAATAGTTGTTGACTCATCATGCACTTATTGCTCTAAGTCATAAAAATCATAATGAAAATTGACGCAGATTTATTGGTGACAAAATTGCTACTAATTTGCTTCTTTGCCACAATTTACAGATATTATAACTTCTTGCTAATAAATAATATATTATTTTACTTATTTGTGTTGTTTGAAAATGTTAAAACAAACAGTAATATTCAATAAATAAGGATTTAGTCACAAGAATATTTTGTCATCATTAACATACTTGATAAATCTAACAAAACTTGTATAATGTCTAGTCAAAGAAGAAAATTCACAATGCTTTTAACCATGTATAATTTAACATGAAACATTTGCAGGAATGAAAATGTCATCTAAAGAAACTAATAAAAATATTATATTTGTGATTTATTCCTTAGTCTTCTAAACTTCTAGTTACATTCCTTTGTTCAGCTCTGAGGAGCTCCATACAGTCAATCTCTCTCTCTGGTAAAACCATAAATTACTGCTCACACCACCACATTTATTTTATAATGATGTAAATACTTTATAATCGGCACTATCCTATGGTATTTAAACCTTACCTGTAGCATAGCTGTGGCTCATGATATAAGTGATTAAGGGTGCTAGCAGTGATGGAGTCTGTTGTGCACATAAGGGTTAATGATGTAGGGAAGTGTAGGTTAGAAAGAGATAATTGATTAGTACAGGGGGTTGATAAATGCATTTAAAGAAAAGGACCATAACATGTTGAGGGATACTACCAAGTCTTAATTGTGAGGAAGAAATTATAAGTAAGTCACTTAAATTTTTCCCTACATCAGACTTGTCTTTAAGCTGACACTCAGTTAATTTTAACTTTAAAACCAATGAAATTTTATCTCATGTCATGGTTAAATAATAAGTTAATTTCCTTTCAATCCATTAAACAATTAAAGGCAGAAATCACAACCATCTAACAAAGAAAATGAAAAACAGTCAACCATAATACATTATTTTCACTTGATCAAAAAATATCATTTAACATAGAAATATCAAACATAAAGAAAAAGCCATTAACTCTTTTGTATCGGGTAGGTCAAAGTGAACATGTCCCAACCTTTTACACAGTTACATTCAAAATTTAAAATACTTTAATATCAATGTATATGAATAAACTTGGCATCAAAATGTAGTTAATAAATCAAATTTTAATGTTATTTAAGTTTTAAGTTCTTAATTTTTATAAGGCAATGTTGAAAAAGTCCTGAATATCCCTTAGTATGAGAAATGTGACATTTATTTCTCTAGACATCCCCTCTTCTCTAATTTATTCACCACTCCTCCAAGAATTATGAAATTTAATGTAAATTACTCATTATAATGTTGTCATTACTCTGGCAAAGGTTAATTTTCATAGCCTTGAAACTTGTTTGGTTACAGAGCTATCAAATAGAAAATCAGACCCCTCTTGCCACACCCACCTGTCACCTCCTCTCTTTCAGGATTTGTAAATAGTTCTCTCTTACATGTAATATTTTATTATTTATAACCAATAGAAAGCTAAGGTTTTCTTCTATGAAATGACATATTATGTTGTTTTCTGTACAGAGAAATGTTAATTTCTCTTTCAGTACAATCTACACACCCACGGGAAACAGATCGATTAGTTTGGATGAATTGGTAATGGCTCTTGTCACATGATGTGAAAGCCAGAAAAATTGTGATAGCTATGGGACATATTCTGCTTTCTGTATGTTTTCTGTGTTCTCTGGAGCATTATTTAATTAAAGAAAAAATAATTATTGCAGTAGTACCATTAGGATTTTTTTTTAATGGGGGTTAAGTGTAATTGACAGTCGACAGCAAAAAGTTGATGACCCAGGTAAATACATTATTTCTTGTGTATTCTTTATTTATTATTATAAAAGTAACTAAAATGTACAAATTAGAAACTTTTTAAGTTAGATTAAGTAAAATAAAGAATAATAATTTTTTCACAAGGTAGCCCATGAGTTATGAAATTTGTTAGGGTAACAAATGCTGCATGTTCTTCAAGTAATTTCAAATTCTATGGTGGGAATGTTAGTCTAGACACAGTTCAAAGGGGCAATAAGACAATAAAATTTAAGTATAAACAGATATATACTTTTTTTTATATTTAAACTATTTGAGATAAACAAATCAAGTTTCATTCTAGAGAGAAAAAATGGGTAATTTAAATTTATTTCAATTTTTTTGGGGGTAGTTATGAGGTCAGACAAATTTACCAACCTTGTATAGTGTTATGGTAGAGAAAATATGAGATAGGATATAAAGTTTTTCTGAAAAAAAATTTGATATTTATTCAGAAGATTGAAAATTTTCATTTGAAGGAAACTATTCTTAATTTTAATATGAAAATCACTTGCACTTGGAACAGTCAACACCATATAATTAAACAGGAAGTTTTAGTAAAAATACTGAATTAAAAATTGTTTGTTTTTTGTTGTTGTTGTTGTTTATGAAAGACTTTTAAAGGTTACTGAAAGCTTGCCAAATTTTGTGAAGATGCAATAAGTACTTTCAGAGTAATAGTATACCACCATGGTTACATAGTGCTTACAGTGTTGTGCAAAATATATGAGCCTCTTGTAATAGGGTTGAGAGAGAACATGTTGATAAATGCACCACTATACAAAAGGGTCGAGACCATAGATCTTAATTGTACACATATGAAATAACTTAGATCAACCCAGATCTCTTTATACGATACTTAATAGTTGTATTCCCTCCACTACCATCTGGTAGTTACATAAACATTATCTGGAAAGAAATTAGAAATTAGATCCTATATATGAGCTAACTCAGATCAACCCATATTCATTCTTTCCACTGCCATCTGGTTGTTACATAAACATCACCTGTTTCCAGTAGGAAAGAAATAGGGTTGAGACCGTAGTTACTTTCTGCTCCACTCCTAGTTGTTTATTGAATGATTTGCATTAAACTGATCCAGTAGGAAAGCAAATAATCTTTATCTTAATATCCAGCTAAAATCCCTTCAACCCTGATCCATTCCCTCCACTACCATCTGGTTGTTACATAAACAGTGCCTGACTCCACATACTTACCACATTATTAGCCAAACTATTCCAAAAGGTTAAAGTGTAAAATAATATTTTTAAGGAACAAGTTTGCATATAATAACCTTAATTTAAAACTTGATTGCTTCTAATTTTGAAGTTACTATTTATGTTTTGAAATATGAATCAAATCTTTTTTTAAACCTATGTTCTAGAATAAACAATTCCAAATCTTTAAAGCTTTTATAACCTTTAATGTTGTAAACCATGTAACATTCTAGTACCCTGCCCAGTTGTTGTCTTTTCTGCAGTTGGTGTTCATTCTAAATCTAAACACACGCTGATTAAAATGAGATAAACTTTGATTTTGATGCTCATGTATTGTACCATTAATAAACATGAGTTCTACTTTACACTCCAAAAATGATGTTGCTCTTAGTGGAACATTCATCTTTTTTGCTATTAATATATGTTTTTGTAATATTATCCAATTTGTTTGGTTGTCTTTTTTTAGAGTTTATTAGAGAAAAAATTAGTGCACTAGTTAAGAATGAGCTTCTGTTTTTAATATTTATGGAAAAGCACTAACATTAGTGGTTTTATCTGATTTAAGTTGACAGTCAGATTTGCCTTAAACTAATTTCAAAATTTAAATTTTCTTATAGTGAGAAGAAAGCCTTCCTTGACGGCTTAAGAAAGTATGGACTTGGAAATTTGGAGATGCTTGAGAAAACTGTGAAAACTAGGAACCAAACAGAAATTAAGTAAGTTGTGTGCATCATGCTGTAAAGCAAAGTTGTATTTAAAATATTTTTGTCTCAAAATATTAAGAAATTGCTTTTATGAAAATGTGGGTTTCTATTCGTATTTTACAGATGTACTCTCATAAACAAGCCAAATGCAAATGGTTCAAATTTGGCCTCATACAGATCAACACACCTCTTTCATGAGCAACAAGTCTACTGTTAATGAAATCATTACATTTTAATTTATATATTATCAATTTGTGTTTGTACTTATATAATTTTTTAAACATTCAATTAAAATAATAGTAATGTACTCTTTAATGTTTATCTTTTTACTGTAACATTGAGGAATGTTCAAGAAATGGTATTCCAAAACACTTGTAGCTATTACTTGAATGCTAGGATTTCTTTCTTTGCCCATCAAAGCATTTGTTTGATTTTTTCTCGCTTGCTCCAGCCTTTTATACCCCAGTCGATTGCCCTTGGCAATATTTATCTCTTGACACTTTCCACCTTCATCAGTGCATCTTCTATCCTGGTACTGTATCTAAGCACCTTATTCAGATAATGTTATTGCTTTTTCTCGACAAAGTGTTGCTAATGGGTTCCCAGTATTACAATTGTTCAGAGATACCTTGAACGTTATTCATGTTTCTAGTTGGATTTCTGTAATTAGAATTAAAAAAATTTTTTTTTGGTTCGTATTGCAAAGCCAATCTACAGTATGAATTCCAGGTTTATTATTTTTGGCATGGAGGCAAATTAGGTCTCTCCTATCCCACCTGTGATATCTAGCATCGCACAGCAATTGGGGTGAGGATGGGAAGAGTCATTCTCAGTTGAGACTGTCAATGATCTTATTCATAGTGAGATGGAGACATATATTCAGTTCTGTGATGGTCCTCCGAAGGGCTCTGAGGTTGCAATTGAGAGCGATCCTTGACATTCTGAAGAAAAGTTAGATTTGCTTTTTCCTGACCTTATTTTAGCATGTTTGTTTTTCAGTCCCCCTGTGGGACAGTTGTGAGTTTGAAGGCTTGCAGCATAGGGGTCCAGGGTTCGAATCCCTATGGTGGACAGGCAGATTAGCCAATGTTGCTTTGCTCTAACACAACAAATTTACCTGACAAAATGTTGTTCCAATCAATGGTAATCAACACAACCTTTAAATGACCTATCAAAAACAAACAAAGAGGCCACTTTTGGATAAACCGCCTTTGATTTTTCATCTGTTGGTTCATCGAGAATGTGATGTTTTAGGCCTTTTCCCTATTGCTTTTGAGCCTGCAACTTACTCGATGGCTGAAAGGTCTGGGAGCGAATTATTAGTTTTCTCTCAATCTACAAATATTGTGGCTCATGCTGGAAGGTTTACTTCTCAGCTATGTGAAGAGGCAGTTATGCCTTACCCGACACGTCAGAACTTTGTGATTTAGCTTACCACTGCCAGATGGAAGCATTTTCTGACTCAAATAATACATCTGTTCCTTGAAGTTTGGGACAAAGTTTGTGGTTAACCTGAATAGATCAATGTACCCTGATTGGAAAGGGCAAGTCTACAGACTTACAACTATAAAATCCAACAGGATCACCAACTTCATTAATGACGAGCTGGATCCATTGTTAGCATGAATGTTAGTTCAACTTTTGGCTTCTACATTTCTCCCTGTTGTTGTTGGAGTCTTGAATCTCATTGGCTCCTACAGAGGGTCATTGCTCTGCCCCTATTTGTGGATCCCGAAAACCTGACATCAACCACTCGATACATTGGTATCCAGAATAGATTCTGTCTATATCCAAGGGTTCCACTGCTTGGCTGGATCACTGCCAGTGGCATCAGTGATTATTGTATACCTCCAGTATCTGTGGTAGCTCAGATCTGGGAATTTCTGGATGTGTGATAACATTAACCATGAATCCAAGGAGTACTGCAGGTTCTTGAGTCTGTCTGGATTAGTCATTCAATTCACATCTTCACCACTATTATTCACCCAACCTGTAGGGTTCCTGTCTCCCACAGATCATCGGGACTTAGAACTTAGTTCTAGGGCTATTGGAGTTTGGTTGGTCTGGGAGTAATGAGAAAGTCATGCTAGTTCTCCAGAGGTTTTATTTCTGTCAGTGTTTGGTCTATGCAAACAGAAAATTGGTGTTCAGTCATTGATATTTCTCATCTATATCAATACCTAGATATTGATCACAAGTTACTTATTCCTCAATTGTTGACATTTTTTTACTGGGATTGTAGATGTCCAAGTTTGTTTTAGTCGGCTCCTATATGCACATTGCCATAATGGTGGAGTCCCACCAATATCGCCATTTGTTTTTCACAAGGGTCAGGTACTGCAGTTTCAGTGTTTTTACCTTGAAACTGTATTGGCTTCATAAGGGTTCTGCTGTATCATTCTGGATTTTTCTTATCACCTACATTCCATTGTACTGTGCACACACCATTACTTAGACAACTACTTACTGCTGACATCTCATCAGTTGTCAGACCATCACATTCTGATTTTACTTTCAGAAACAACCAAGGCTGGCTTCATTTTCAGAGCTAAGACATCTATTCTAGTTCCAATTCCATATATCATCAGTCTGGGTGTTTTTATTTTTCATCTTATCACTCAGTCTGGTTCAGCTGTCTCCCATCCAGCTCAACACTATTGAATAGGTTGCCCAACTCTTACTCACCTCTTCTTCTCCCACTGCAAGGATGGTTCTTTCTGTTCTGGGAATGTGGGCATCACCTGCATCCCTCATGCCTTTGGGATGAGAGCACAACAGATCCTTTTAATGGTCTTTATGTGACCAAGAGATCATAAACATTGATTCACTGGATTTGTCAGTTTCCTTTGTCAGGATCATTCTTCAGTCTCTAGGGATTGTTAAGTCGGGACACTACTATGATATAGGTTCATCTACCATCACCATGTCCAGAATTCCATCTCTTCACAAATTCCTTGTTTCAGGGATGGGGTGCATATACCAACAATCAGGAATTTCAGGGTTTATGCATGGATGAAGAGGCTTCTCTACACAATCTTTTAGTCTTTGCTCTTCAACAGGCAATACCTCATGGTCTGGGCTTATGAAGGGGAAAATTGTTAGGCTTCACTCTGACAATTCGTGGTGTTGTCTTATGTTTTTCATCGAGGAGGTACTTGGTTCAGGGCTCCTTCTTTTCAAATTTTGGACCTCCTTTCTTGGGACCATTCCTATCTTATCACCCTAGTAGCTTGCCATGTTCCACTGGTGATGCCTGCAGTAGCAGGTCAGTTGTCTCCATCCAAACAGATTCTCCTGACAGAATAGATGTTGTATTGCAAGTTTCTGCTTGTTTGGCTCCCATTTTGCAACTCTCATTGGTGGGTTGGCCTCTCATTGGATCATCCAATTACTAACAATTTGGTCTCCAGTACCTCATTTTCAGGTTTTGGCAATGGATGCATTCCGCATTCCATTGGGACATGACAGGATTACAACTCTAGACCTTCTCTTTCCACTTCATATGTTACCCAGGGTACTAAATATGATTTGTTCCATTTCATTGTTGGGACCTGTTGATAGCACCAGATTGGCCACTACACCCTGATTTCTGCTTCTGCAGTCCATTCTGGAGTGTCCACCTCTTCCACTTCTTCTTAGGCTATCTCTGTAGAGGAAGCCATGATATGACATGGTATTCCCAAGATCTATAAGCTTTGATACTATGTTACATGCTGCATAGATTTAATGCACGATCTTAACCAATTCGTTGTACCAACGGTTTGACTGTTTTGTTTAACCAACTTTCATAATTTTTCTTAAGATACCCAAAAATATCCACAGAGTGGCTTTAAAAAGTATCTTGTCACTGAAATAAAACTCAGGACAATATATGTA